CTGGACCCCCTTTGCACAGCCCAGGAGGTGGTATCCTCGGGGCGGTGGGAGCAGAGGCCGGGCCACCCGTGAGTGGCCCGGCCCGATTCCCTGGGGGCCACCCTTGCTCCTTCTCTATGACTCCTTTCATCTAATCTGTCTCAAGTCCTATCTTCGGCCCTACCATCAAAATACGTCCAGACTCCAATCACTTTTCACGGCCGCTGCCAGCAGGTGCCGGTCGTCGGCTCTCGTCATTATGGTGACAGCTTCCTCGATGACTTCCCCTCTTCCACCTCCACCCCTACAATCACAAAGCAGCAGTCAGAGATTTAAACAGTGAGATCAGACCACCTTCTGTTCACACCGTCCAATGGGCCCTACATCCCTCAGAGTAATAGCCAAAACTCTACAACGGCCTCTGAGGCCTTCCTTGCCCTGCCCTGTCCTCATCTCTCTGACCTGGTTGCCTCCCACTCTTTCCCTTGGTGGCTGTGCTCCAGCTCGTCTGGCTCCCAGGCACATTGACACCACAGGACCTTTGCACTTACTGTTTCCCCTCTTCCTGGAATGCTCTGACCTCAGGCATCGGCCATAGTTCATTCCCTCCCCTCTGTCAAGACTCTGTTCACACGTTAGGTTCTTAAGGAGGCCTACCCTGACCTCCTGGTTTAAAACTGTAACTCCTCTACTTGATTTTCCAGTTGTCCTCCTTCCCTTGTTTCTGTCCCATAACACTTATCACCGTCTAAAGCACCGTGGAATTCTCTTACTTATTATGTCTACCGTCTGACAGCTCCCACTAAAAGGCAAGCTCCTTGTTTGTCCCCTGCTATCACTGCAGTGCCCAGATCAGTGGCACACAGTTAGCCCTTAATGCCTACTAGCTGACGGGCTGAGTTTGCTCCCCCCCAGCGGGGAAGCGCCCATTCCCTTAGGTGGAAAGTTGCAAAGGGATTTCCGGGGCCACACAGTCTCCCAGGTTGGGTCAGAGGTGGCTGGACACAGGCAGCAAGGGCCTGGCACGGCCAGCTGGTCTCTGCTGGTCCCACCACCTGATAACTGCCCAGGCCCCACCCAGAATCCTCTGGGCCATGCCCTGATTGGGACTGCGGATCCATTTTTGACTTGGGCACATGCTGCCTCTCACTCTCGTGTGCCCTCCCTGCCTCCTGCAGATGGCTCTTCCCTTTTCAAGGCCACTCCCCATCAAGGTCTCCTGCCTTTTCCCAAGCCGGTGCTCCGGTGGCCCCTCAATGCCAATTACAGGCCCGGACCTGGGCTGTGGTTGCGCACCTGCTCTGTCTCCCCTCTGGGCCGTGAACCACTTGAGGCTGCCGGACTCCTAGCCCGGAGCGTGTCCCCGGCACAGGGCAGTTGTCAGTGACGATCTGCTGACTAAGCCCGTGAAGGACTGGAGAGAGAGCTGCTGGGTGTGGGGGACTCTGCCGCCCCAGCTGTGTGCCCGCCGTGTGTCACTGGGCATCACTGGCGGTGGTCAGGCCGCAGCCACTGGTGCTCTGGCTAACCCGCCAGAGGGCCCGGCCCTGCGTGGGGTCCCCTCCCGCCCTGGCACAAGGTGGACACAACTGTGACTAGAGGGAGCTTCTCCAGCCACTAAATCCAATGACATGACACCCACATCAACAGCTCCAACTGCCACGTCCCGAGTGCCCGCCGTGGGTTGGGCGC